AGGTGTTCCTACAACAGAGACGGGGCAGCCGTGCAGCACTGGGCAGGAAGGGGATGGATGGGGCCCCTTCCCAAGCCACCTCTTGTGAATTTGGGGTGGACAGCACAGATGGAGCGGAAGGGGAGTTACTTGTGGCCACAAAAAAAAGGTGCATTTAGCACATTCAAAAGAAAGTTCCACCCCTGAGCACACCGGGAGACCCAGCGTGCCTCAAATTTGAGCTAGAGAGGTCAAATACAATTACTAGTAGATGAGCCTAGGACACATGCCTTTAGTAATTAATACCGTACCATAAGAGGTATCATGTGCACCGTAGATTTTAACAACACACAGGAAATATATTTGAACCCCCAAATTTGTCGATGTGTTAAATCACAGGACGTTTCAAATTTCCTCTTTGAGTAGACTTGAACTGATTTTAATTTAAAGCAAAGGCAAACTACATTACCATGTAGGGTTTAGGTTAAGCCACATTTACCCTTTATTATTCTGCATTTCACACAAAATGTAGTGCTTTTCACAGGCAAAATGGAAATGTTGCCAACCTGTACCAGCCAAAGTAATGACTTTTTTTCATTATTTTTCAGAAGAGGAGGAGAAGCACCGAAGCTCTGATTTTAAATAAAGAACTTCCAAGTTATTCCAGGTATGAAATATTGTATACACAGTATAACTCTAATCCCATTTTCTCTCTCTTTTATTTTTTTGCTCTTCAAATAAATAGCTGGTTATGAATCAATCAGCGAACTCTTCCTTGTGTACAGAAACACTCAAGCAGGTATTTCTGAGTACAGGCTCTCTCTGCAATGCTAAATTAAAATTCTACGGACAGAGTCACTTGAAGTAAAATACACCCTAAACAGTATGCATGATAAAACCTGTCTGCTCTCTTGACCTATCCACTGAGGTACACAATTTACAAGGTCAGAACATAGTTTATCAAAGGAGGGCACTTGAAACAGATACTAACTTAAACTCCAGAGTTTATCATGAGCACAGAGACAGCGTACAAGGCACAATGAAATTTAAGGTAGAGGACTTCACATTCCTTACATGTGGAAGACGAGAGCACTACAATCTTCTAGAAATGCTTATATACAAAGCATATGTATATTGCACAAGTTTTGATTCAGTCTTCAGCACAGCAAGAGGAAGAACCTTTAACCAGAACCCCTTCAAATTATTTCCAGACTTAATTTGACCTGTGACTTGACCAAAGCAGCATGTTCTTTCATGGTCTTCCTACCAGCATCATACTCTGTAAAATCAATGAGGGAAAGATTTATATCAAAACACACAAGGATTGAGGGAAACCAAGACAAACATAACAAAACCAAACACTACAAAATACATGTGAGATAACCCAGAGCAAGTAGAGTCCATTAACTCAAGTGTCGTTCTCCGATGGATTTAAATTTAACACCAAATATATTGTGAATTGAGTCCAGTGACCCGAGTTCCAAGTAAAGCACTGGTTTCCAATAAGCATTTGGGATGGTATTCACAACACTAACTTCAGGTTAGCTACAAGTCGTCTAACATCCTTTTATCACGGCTACCTGTTTCTCCCAAATAATCACATCGCCCTTCAGTTTGAGTCTTAGAATTGGTTTATATTGAATTCTCGGTAAGGGATTTCTTAAAAATAAACTCTCATGCTGTCAGAATGCAAGGTACAGAGAGTACACTTACACAACCACATTTTAGGAGAAGTGGGAGCAAGAAAGCTAGAAGAGCAATTTCAAGTTTCGCAGGATCCAGCTTATGCCAGTTCTGTCACTACTGGTACTGAATGGGACGGCTCTCCCAAC